CCACATTTTACAAGTTGGCCAGGCCCACCCAGTCACATGGCTGGCAAGCCGCTCCCACCCAGTCACATGGCTGGCAAGCCACTCCCAACCAGTCACATGGCCGGCAAGCCACTCCCACCTGGTCACAAGGCCAGCAAGCCACTCCCACAAAGCAGGCCACACCTACAGAAGAGGTTCTAAAAAATTTTGAAACCCACCACTGCATACTATCCATGTGAGAAGTAACACAAATTGATCGAAAGACTATTTCTCAACCTAGGTTGAGTGTGTCACGTGTGCCACAGGCATGCAAGCCATCACCCAGGTCAGCTCCACCATGCATGCGTGCACCTCCCACCGGGACTGGACTGAATAGTAAGAAGCAAATTAGACTATTGAAAGACGTACCCTCTCTATGTTAATGTTATTAAACAATGTTGGTATGTTTAACTGCACGTGCTTTAGCAGACTATTTAAACAGAAATGACACAAAAATAATAAAAAACAAAATAGAAGATGGACAATGACTAATAAAATAGAAGTAAAAAGTTATTTTAAAAAATCCTTTTTGGTTACACATCTTCCCCTTCCATTTATTTCCCCAAACACTAACATTTATCTAACTATTTGGTTGAAATTATCATTAAACAGAAAGCAAGCAGACATATAGAAAAATGAAATTTGCTATTAAAAAGAAAAAGAATCAAGCAAACTTCTACAACGGTTAAGTCTTGTCTTATTACATTTCTAACCTTTTTTGAGGGTGTCAACAGCCAGGCAGGTAAAAGTGACTCAACAAATATTGTACAACCAGAATTTTCAAAGCGCCTTTGACAAAACCCCTTATCAAAAGCCACTGACAAAGCTCAGCTACCAAGGAGACAGAGAATGGGCAGAAAAGAGCAGATCTCACACCAAGATGCACGAAATGAGACCTCCAAGGACTGGCATTGGAGCTGGTGCCTTTGACTTGTAGATCAGCATTGTGGAGTTTGTCATTCAAGGTAGTAAAAAAAAAAATTATTTTTTAAAAAAGGGATTGTGAAAGAGTTGCAGAAAGATCTCTCCGAAAGTGCTGAATGCATTCAAAAAGGCAACGGTGATTGATTCAGGGTATGCAAATTTAAAAAGATGAATGTTGACCTCAAAAAAGCATACTTCACTGATACATTAATGAAATTCATCAGGAAAGAGATTTTGCCATCACAATAGGCCCATGATGGCGAACCTATGGCATGCAAGCCATTGCCCAGCTCAGCTCCACAGTGCATGTGCATCGGGTCTCTGCCGTGCATGCACAGGAGGGCAGGGCGCATGCGGGATACACACATGCATGCTCATGCGGGTCATGCATGCTCATGCGTGGGGGTCATGAATGTTCATGCACAGGGGGAGAGGCACAGCCCCTCCCATGCGGCCTGCTTTTGCTCCCAGGAGGCTGCAGGGAGGCCTACTAAGCCCAAAGCAGAGCACCAGAGGGTTGCATGTGCATCCTTGGGGATGGAGCACAGGGGGTCACGTGTGCATGTGCTGTGGTTGTGGGATGCACGGGGAGGGGGGTTCACACACACATTGCATTATGGGTGTGAGCACACACGTGTGCTTTCAGCACGCGACAACAAAAAGGTTAGCCCTCACTGCAATGGGCCGTTTGATAAAAATGTCGACCCACTTTGTAACAATTTTTTTTAAAAAAAACCAGAATCTATGCATAGCAATAGCAATAGCAGTAGACTTATATACCGCTTCATAGGGCTTTCAGCCCTCTCTAAGCGGTTTACAGAGAGTCAGCATATTGCCCCCAACAAT